TGAAGAGTGAATCGTTTTCCAAGTTTCCCTGTTTCCCCGCTGTGCTATGTTATGTAAATGGCTTACCCTCTGTGCCCCAGCACTGCTAGCTGTTGAAAGGATATGTTCCCAGAGGACTTCCCAGGAGTCTAAGAATTTTTTGTTGGAGAAAAGCACTGGGAAACTGATAAGAATGCCACAGAAGGGTGCAAAGGCTTATTAGTCTTTTAAGGTCTGATCAGAAGGCCACTGAAGGAGAAAAAAGACATTCCTAATGACCTCAGTGGACTTTGAATTGGACTTCCAGTCAGCCCTCGATCAACAGGTTGCATGTATTTGTCATTTCCTTTGCTCTGTTTCAGTGTCACTACCCACCTGCAGGGGAGCATTCCTGGGAAAAGCAGTAGTATGCCCATCAACAGGAATTGCTTTATTTTACTAGCTATTGAAATTATTTTATCTTTTAACCTAAAGATTACATTTTTATATTACAATAGCACTGAAAAATCCCCAAAAGATCATGAGGTTGACAGTGTAAAAAATTAAACTATAATGCAGCAAATGCAGCATATGATGCATACATTTACAATCTAACTACTAGGGATCTACTGTCACTCTGGTCTGGTTTTACTGCAAAGAGTTAAAACTTCTAGAGGCTAGTGGGTTTCTTTTTGTTCCGAGAGGAAAGAGGTAAAAAAACCTGCCACAGCCAGTTAGCCACAGCAGACCGAGTTCTGAAGCGCACATCTGCAAATTCAGCAGATAGGTTCCCCTCTGTCAGGCTGTGTCTCTATGCCACAAGCTCCCTGTGCTGTTAGAGAAGATTCCTCAAAGTGCTCACATTTGAATCCAAACTACACACAAAGATTTCGGAGGACGCATAAACCCCTATCAGCCAGGTACGTTGAACTTATTGGTTTGCCCAAAGCAAACTTGGTTGATACACTTAGCAAATGTTCTCAGAAATACTATGTAAACATTTCTTTCCCCAAGTCTGATTATGGAGGACTTCAAAACTCTGTGTCTGAATATTATTTTGATTGTGCATAATTTGGGAACAGCACTTGCTTTTCAGGGATATGCTTTTTCACTTTGCAAAGGGATACCCAGCAGATCAGTAAAAGAAAAAAAAATATACATATACATATATATAACATTGCAAATTAAATTTAATTTGCAAAATAAATTTAATTCTACTGTAGATATCTGTGTTTAAGCCAAGTTAAAAATAACTGCAAACTAATGACAGAATTTAATGGTCAGCAGTGAGCATTTAGCAAGTATGACTGTGCTATCCTGTAATCCATTCTCTCAGTGTCCAATCAGTGCTCTTCAAACACCTTATCTCTGTGTAAATTAAATATGGTTAGGGTTTGCTACAGTTCATAAAATAAAATCATTCACTATTTTGTAGCATTCAGATTACTGTGAAATTACAATGAACATAGCTTTTTTTCATATTGGTAACAAATATTAAGATGAAAATTTGTGCTATACAACAGACCTGATTATTTATTGCTCTCCTGGTTAAAATTATTTTGTTGCCTTATCAGGTAACTGGCACAGCACAGAGGTCAACAATTATTACACAGGGTCAACCAGAACAATAAGTAGTAAACACAGTTTGGGAGGGACTCAGTGCCAAAACATAGTAATGTAGTGACATTTATAAGTCTTAAATTTACTAGGACCTAGGAGACAGTAACTATGGGTGACTTGCTGCCTTCCATAGAAGACAAGAATATCCCATGGCATATGAAATGTCACTTGATATTGAGGTGCCTGAATCCTACCCTTTGTTTCTAAAACACATTCATCCTATAAAACACATTCTGAAATAATACCCTACATACAAAATTGGAAGTACATCCATCTATTTCCATATCAAGCACGCTTCAATTAAATTAGCTAGTGCCTTTAAAAATCACCTCTTTATTTGATCAGTCTGTAAGTAAATCTCCCAATGAATCTATCTAAATGTGAATACCTTGCAATCTCTTCTTGCCACACAAACAACTATCACCTGAAAATACCCAGCTCAAAATCATGTTTGATTTTAAAATAAGATAAAGGTGAATATTAAGTTTCTTCTTTCTGTTTAAAAAACCTTAGCTTCCAGGTCAGATCTCTACAGTTCACTTCTCAAATATGGAGGTTTTAAAAACAATGCTGGAATTCTCACTTATTTGTGTAATCCTTGGAGCTTCGCCTTTTATAAAAATAACAAATACAACGAAGCATGACTTGAGTCACTTTAACTGGTAATTGTCTATGTAACTCCACCCTTCATTATTTATCCATCTTGACTCTGATAGTGGCTTTTCCCCTCTATCTTAACTAATGCTAATCTGACTCCACAATGACATGGTTTTGAGCATAAAGCCACAAAAAAAAAAAAAACTTTATTTTTTGTTGTTGTAAGTTTAGATTTTCACCTTTTGGCCACCTTGAAGCTGTTCATGGTCAGATGAGGAAACAGCAGTGTTGGAAGGTTAGAGGTAGAGGACAGCACAATCAAATATCAACCACACTGTACTAATACACCATAATTAGCTGGAAACAACCTGGGAAGATAAAGCAATTCCAGCAAGTGCCTAAGGAGCTACTCCTGTCAGAGAATCTAGGATAAACATTCTCTCCTTTACTTACTGAACTGCTTGCTTATGTAAAGTTCAAGAAATACTAAGGGATGGCAAGGAGAAAGTGTGTTTAAGTAAGTTTATTTAACCAACAACTTCTGTGTGTTTATCAATCCCACCATCATTTTCATGGGTCACTTCTCCACTGTCTATATGCATCAGTCTCTTCAGACAGTATACTCTGGACTGAGTACTGCTCTAGATTTGGGAAACAGTCTGGGACATTGTGGACACTAATAACTGTCATATGTGGAGATAATTTATATATCTGTAAGAATATAAGAGGAATGCCAGCATTCCAATTAAAATGCTGGACATTTTTAATACTCTTGTTAGACCTTAAATATAAACCAGCCGTCAAATGTAGAATACTAGTATTACAAAACACAGAGCACTAATTTACACATGCACTTGTAGCATCTTCAGCATGAAGACACATATTACTTTTTTGAAAGATCTTGTAAAAACAAAGAAGCTAAGTAATCACTCAGTATGAAAGAAGACACAAAGGAAATCTAACTCAGCAAACCAAATTTACTGCAAGATTCTCTAACAAAACCTTTTTTAATGGTTTATAAGAAACAAGCAGCAGAAATTCCTGTTTAGCATATCACCTGACAGTAAATAACTGGGCAAATCTTCATGCAAATAATAAAAACAAAACCTGACAGAACTGTATTTTAGCACAGCAGTTTGCATACCAGCTTCTGGGCAGGCAGCACAACAGTTCCTGCTGTGCACAAGAACATGCACTCATGGCAATTTGATGTAGTCAGCATCCTCAGCTCCCATGGTTTTACACCGTACACTATATTTTCCCACAGTCTTCAAGTTTTGATGTCACTTAAGTAGAAGACACCGATCTTGACTTAAAAAAAGAAATACTATGTGCCCTGTTTTTGTTGTTAGAGCAAAATGAAAAGCAGAAGCAAGGAAAATATGAATCCTACAGATTTTAAAACATGGAACTGTATTTTAAAATGTGAGGATTCTTGGGATTTTTTGTTTGTTTTCAAATACTTTTTGTTTGTTTGTTTTCAAATATTTGAAAGCTAGTGCATGCCTTTAAGTTCTAGGGTTTTGACAAAGGCTGTGACAGTGAACCTGGACATTTACTAAAAGGCACAACTAAGCTGTCACCAAGGGACTGAGCCAATGAACTTAGCCAGTTGTTTCCCTCCCTTGTGTCTGTGCGTTCCAAAGCTCTTCCAGTGTTATCATCCAGGCTGACTACTGCAAACTCTCTCAGATTTTGAACAAAGAGGTAAAAAACGTAAAAGATACCCCTTGAAACCTACCCATGAAAGCGTAAGTGAACAGCAAACATCAACAATACAGAATTTGTTCACACTCAAAACACTTGGCAGCAAGACTCGGAAGCAACAAATTCACTTCAAACAGGCAGTTCAGCGTAAGTGTGCAAGATTCACCCCAGCACTAAAAGCTGCTGCTTCAAGATACCTACCTATATGGTTAGAAATACAGTTAGCACTGACTGCTCTTACATGTCTTCAGTAAATTTTGATGTCTTTCTTGTAAACTGCAAAACAGAATCACAGACTGGCCTAGGCTGGAAGGGACCTTAAAGCTCATCCAGTTCCAAGCCCCTGCCATGGGCAGGGACACCTTCCACTAGACCAGGTTGCTCCAAGCCCCTGTGTCCAACCTGGCCTTGAACACTGCCAGGGATGGGGCAGCCACAGCTTCTCTGGGCACCCTGTGCCAGTGCCTCAGCACCCTCACAGGGAAGAGCTTCTGCCTAAGAGCTCATCTCAGTCTCCCCTCAGTCAGTTAAAAGCCAATCCCCCTTGTCCTGTCCCTGCAGGCCCTTGTCTAAAGCCCCTCTCCAGGTTTCTTGTAACCCTTTTAGGCACTGGAAGCTGCTCTAAGGTCTCCTGGAGTCTTCTCCAGGCTCAACTTTCCTCCCCGCTTCGCCGGCAGCCTCGGGGAGAGAGAAGGCAGGAAAAAACGCCTTGTGTCACCGGTCCCACCAAACTTTTAATCCTTCCGGCCCGGAACCACACTCACCCGCTTCCTGCCCGCTAACCGCTTCCAGACCCGTTTCCTGAGGACCGTAGCCAGGCCGGCCTCAGGCGACAACTACCAGCCCCAGCAGGCCGCGGGGCCGCCGTTTCCATAGCAGCGGGCGGGCCCGGAGCGGGGCGCTTCTAGGTCCCAGAGCCGCGAGGAGGACCTGGAGGCTGCAGGTTCTGCAGCGTTAGAATGTTAGGGGCTAGCTGGTTGTAGTTCGTACAAAATCCTGCGGAACTGCACACGTCTCACCTTGATTCACGCCTTGAATCGTAGGAAAGGGTGCCTTTTAGGGTCTCAAAGTGTGAACTGATAACGCAACGTCAACACTAAGTCCTGATAAACAACTCACTATTGAAGCACTGCTAAACAACTCTTACAACAGTGTCTAAACCATATTTAATCTGCTTCTTTGTGTTTATTTTCCTCAGCTACTGACCCAAATATGGCCCAGTCAGCAGACAAAATGTCACTGGAGGTGGTATCAGCTGTCAGTAATTCATCGCTGCTTCAGCCAGGCTTCTCTCTCCTGAATTTTGATGGGCACACTTTCCTTTTTGGGCAGAAAGGATGGCCAAAGAGGTCTTGTCCTACTGGTGTTTTCCTCCTCTATATAAAGGAGAATGAGCTCAAAATGAAACCTGCCTTCTTCTCTAATGACTCCTGTTACCTGCCCCCTCTCCGCTACCCTGCCATTTGCAAGCTCAGAGGCAATGCAGTGTCTGATGAGTACCAGTATATCATCCATGGTGGAAAAACGCCTAACAATGACCTTTCAAATAAGATTTATGTTATGAGTCTGATAAGCAAAAATAGTAAGAAAACCACATTTCAATGTATTGAGAAAGACCTGGATGGAGATGTCCCTGAAGCTAGATACGGGCATACAATTAACATAGTTCATAGTCAGGGTAAAAGCATGAGCGTTATATTTGGAGGGAGATCATACACCCCTCTTGCACAAAGAACCACTGAAATATGGAACAGCGTAGTTGACTGTTTGCCATCTGTGTTTCTGGTTGATTTTGAGTTTGGATGCTGTACATCATACATACTTCCAGAGCTTCAGGATGGACTTGCTTTCCACGTTTCAGTTGCCAGAAATGATACAATATACATTTTGGGAGGTCATTCACTTCAAAAAAACACCAGGTCCCCCAGGTTGTACAAGCTAAAAGTTGATCTCCCGCTGGGCAGCCCAGCCGTGACCTGCACCATCTTGCCAGGAGGGATATCTGTATCGAGTGCTATAGTGACTCAAACCAGTGATACTGAATTTGTCCTTGTTGGGGGATACCAGTCTGACAACCTGAAACGGTTGCTATGCAACACCATTGTTCTGGAAGACAGTAATATACAGATTGTTGAAAGGGAGAGCCCAGACTGGACACCAGATATTAAACACTGCAGGATGTGGTTTGGCAGTGATATGGGCAAAGGGTCTGTATTGTTGGGCATTCCAGGGGTCAACAAACAGTTAATTTCAGATGCAAACTACTTCTACATTTTGAGATGCAAAGGAGAAGAGGACAAGGAAGAAGAACTGACAGCACAAATTTGCAGTCAGACATCAACTGAAGACCCTAGAGACTCCACTCCATTTGAAGATTCTGAAGAGTTTTGTTTGAGTGCTAAAGCCAATAGATTTGATGTTGATAATACTGACACTTACAATGAAGCTGATGAAGATGAATCAGAAACAGGCTACTGGATCACCTGCTCTGCCAGTTGCAATATTGACAGTAACACCTGGGTCCCTTTCTATTCAACAGAATTCAACAAGCCTGCTATGATCCTGTGTTCCAGCGGGGCTGGCCACTGGGTGCATGCTCAATGTATGGATCTCTCAGAGACCATGCTTCTGCATCTCTCAGAAGCAAATGTCAAGTACTTCTGCAATGAGCACACTGACGTTAATAAAGGGCTACAAACTTCCCAAAAGGTGGTGCCCCTGAAAAAACAACCCATGAAACCACTTCCCAAAAAGACAACCATGAAGTTAACATCACCAGCGAAAAAGTCCTTTCTTCGGAGGTTGTTTTAATAGATTTACTCTGCTGGTTTGTATTCACCTGGAAGGAAATGAAATTGCAGAGACAGCTGGTAACGGTTGAAATAGGACTGGTTATTTGATTTCAATTATCTCAATATTTCAGTTGCGCTTCAAAGCTCATGAATTTATTTCGCCTCTTGTGTGTATTTTTATAACATCCAGATAGGAACCCCATCACAGAGAGCATTGTGCAAACACACAGCCAGATGCTGGTAACTGTGTTCTGTGTTTCATGGCACAAATTACCCCCTCATTATCCCCAATGAGTTTAATGGAACTGCTGGTAGGATAAGATATTACCCCATGTATTGAATGATTATATGTCAGTTTTGACTACAGATGTAGAATATTATCTCATAATAAAAATCAAACTTTTTTTAAACCACTGTGCTCAACAACTTCGTGTTTATATTTTTAAAAAGCTAGTAAGCTAATAAAGTTTATAATATAAGTTATTGCATTTTTTTCACCTACTCATGGGGTAAATCAAGCACTGTAAATCCCAAAATCTATGAAAGGACAGCATGTGTGCTTAGGAGGTCCATCTGAAGCTTGGTAAGGGGTCTAGCTTCACATCCACCCCACGCTATGAGCTCCTGTTGACTTCAGAAGAAGTTCCTTCTGATGAACAGGACTTTTATAATTTATTCCAGCTCCTTCCCTATGCATTTCTTTCTCTGCTCTCCCAGGGTGACTGTATAGAGTGTGAAAGCTTAAAAGTGCAAGCTGCAGGTCAGAGCATTTCACTGAGCCAGTGGACCATTGTGAGGGTGGGAACAAATGCAGCTGGGTTCTCAAAGCACAAGAAGACAGGATTCAGATTGAAAAGGACATCATCAAGGTTGAATAGCCCAAGAGTTTACTAAGATTTCTGTGGGTTCTCTTACTGCCTATTCATAAAGCCTCATCACTTTATTGTTTTTATTTTTATTACTGCTCCAAACATCTTTTCCAAAAATATATACCCTCAGCTCAACGTTTGTGAGCCAACAATAATAGCTCAGTATACACAATCCAGCTCTCATGCTGGACACCTATATAGAAAAGAAAACCAAGAGGAGCTGTCAGCCATTTGATCACTATGTGCAGACCCTGAGCAGCCACAAATTAGTATGTGCAGCACAGTATTCCTATAAACACAGTCATGTATGCACAGTACTCCCCTTAAAACTTTCACAACTCAACAGCAGAGGAAAGTAAAAGTCAACCATATAAAGTTTCTTTTTCCAACCTTTTCATGTGCTGAGGGAGCTTAAAGTTCAGGTAGAGCTTGTAAATGGGAGGTATTCACCTCCACCACATTGACTCTCCTCTCACCAGTCTGATACTGGTATAAATTTGCAGATTTCAGTACCAGCTTTCTGTTTCCTTTGCCATGCTACTTTACGTAAGATCTGAATAGTGAGTTTTCCAAGGAATAAATGAATATCATACTCATGTAAAGTCCCTTCAAACTGGTGAAATTAAATTGTCAGCATCCCCATTCCCTTTTGTAGGTTAGTCACAGCTCTTACTGAGCAGAATTGTCATTAAAATATGCATTCATCGTGCACTTTTCATAGACTTCATTTGCATCAACCAAAAAAGAAAACTCACAATGAAACTGAAGCCACAATATAACAAAAGCAACAAAGGTAGACAACATACTCAAACAACAAAACTCCATCCCTCATCCCTTCACCATTGTACAACAAAAGACTCCCCACAATAGCTGTACCAGTGCAGAAATGTTCCATGGACTGGAGCAGCTCTGCTCTGGAGGCAGGCTGAGAGAGCTGGGTTTGTTCAGCCTGAAGAAGAGAAGGCTCTGGGGAGACCTTAGAGCAGCTTCCAGTGACTAAACGGGCTACAAGAAACCTGGAGAGGGGCTTTGGGCAAGGGCCTGTAGGAATAGGACAAGCAGGAATGGCTTTAACCTGACAGAGGAGAGATTGAGATGAGCTCTTAGGCAGAAGTTGTTCCCTGTGAGGGTGCTGAGGTGCTGGCACAGGTTGCCCAGAGAAGCTGTGGCTGCCCCATCTGTGGCAGTTTTCAAGGCCAGGTTGGACAGGGCTTGGAGCAACCTGGTCTAGTGGAAGGTGTCCCTGCCCATGGCAGGGGCTTGGAACTGGATGAGCTTTAAGGTCCCTTCCTACCTAAACCATTCTATGATTCCATCAAGTGACATTCAGGCTGAGATAATGCCTGGTGGCTCAGGCACTGGTGGCATGGTTGCAGTATGTTGGGAGCATCTCTGTATTTCCAGAACTGACTCCTGCAGTCCCTAGGAGCCGAGAGCATGTTGCAAACACAAGCCCACATTATGGCCCCTTCCAATTCTTATCTGAGTTGTCATTCTTTAAGGCTGTGGCTATGACAATTCAGAGTCAAACTTTACAATATTCCTCATCAGGCACATACCATTAGTTTATTGTAAGATTAAACTGTGGAGTTTTCTAATGCTTTATTTGAGCAGGATGGAGAAATTGCTTCATCAAACCACATCTCAGCCTCCAAGTGACGGGCATTAAATCACAGCTCAGAGACTGTAGTCACTGCAGGAAGAAAAAATCATAAGTAAAGCAAAATATAATATTCCAAAGGACTCAAGGAGATACATGAACATTAGCCTGTGAAGAAGACATTTGACATAGCATTCAAGACTGAAGAAGGTACTTAACTCCCTGGTAATTCTGAGGACACTTTTGAGTCATATACTTGTTAGAGCATTGATTATCTTCAAAAGCAGCTAATCAATACAAGATGTTTCTTCCTCAGGCAATTTTGAATTAGAAGATAAAATGAAGTAGATTTGAGTGCAGAAATAAAGCTCTATTGTATCTGCATCTGACTGACCTATGTGTTTTGTAACCGCAACAAGCAGCATCATGGTTCCTAGCCACATTTTAGTAAGACTATGCTGTTATGATCAGCTTTTATGAGAATAATATATGGATTTTACTGCTACTGAAAGGTGCTTGGACCCTGAACTAGCTAATTAATCTACAAGAAAAGCACAGCACAAACTTTAGTGGTAGCACAAAGGCATGTGTCATTGCTCAGAGTGACTCATTGCACCAATTGAAAGGAGTGGAAATAATGCAACTGGGAGCCCAAAGCAAAAAGAAAACAACTTAATATTGAAAAGGAATCTGTAAAGTTATTTACTGATAGATTCAATGTACTAAAGACAGATAGCCTGGTTTACTTATTATTACTATTACTATGATTATTATTACTATTATTATTACTATTAGTATTATTGGCTACAGCTCCCTCCTGGTTTTATTTCCTACTCTATCCCATTTCAGACAAGGCTAACTTCTGGGAAGGGCTTGAGCAACAACCTCTGAACATCAAACACCAGTTTAGTGTCTGTCGTTCACCTTTGAAAATGGTGACACCGAAGTCTATTTTTTCTTTTAAAAAAGCAAGACAGTAATCATATAAGCTGTCTGATTTCTCAGTACATACACTGGTAGTGTTCAAGGCCAGTTTGGACAGGGCTTGGAGCAACCTGGTCTACTGAAAGGTGCCCCTGCCCATGGCAGGGGGTTGGAACTACATGACCTTTAAGGTCCCTTCCAACACAAACAATTTTGTGATTCTATGATTCTATGACTTTCTGAAGTGTAATAAACAGAAGCTACAAATAATGAACTGAAAGATAGATTAGAGCTAATCTTTACAGTTCAGTCTATGGTGAGGAGCCAAAATTTGATGCAAAGGATGCACAGAAGCCAGTAAAGAGGGTTAATGTATCAGCATGGACATAATAGTGCAAGGCTGATTTCAAACAAAGAGATGGTATTTGTAAATGAAGCAAAAGTCATTTACAGACTAAATAAAACTGATTTAAATTAGTTTAGTTTTCTATCCAACAGTTGCCTGTGAGGAAGGGTGCTGACAGGACTGCTGAGAGTCACAGAGTAATCTTTATTTGATTAATTTAATGAATTTAATGAATTCCAAAAACAGGGCTGGAATCACAGCTGATTCTGGGTATTAGAACAGCCTAAATATGAAAAGCATACACAATTTGAATGAAAAGTAAGACTGGTACCATGAAATCATGTGCACAGCTGAAAAAAACAGTAAGGCAAAGCCAAAAACTTAAATATTTATAAAACCTTTATATTAAATAGGTTTCATGAATTAAGAAACTGCAATACATTAAGAAAATTTAAAAATGAAGCCATGTAGAGAGCCACAAAGCACAGAACTCAGTATAGTCAGAAATTAGGATGCTGTAAATATCTCTTTTTTTTTTCTGAACTATATGACCAAAATTCAAAGCTGATGAGCTTGAAGTCAGCAAAATTATTCCTGTGAGGAAAAAATAAGTGAGACCAGAATCTTGGCTTCTAACATAGTTCACAGTGTTTCATAACTGTTTCATAAGCCATTGAATAAAAACAAACAAAAAAAAAGATACATAATATGATTGTATAAAAACTACAGTCAACATTTCAGAACAAGAAATTATTTACCATGAATTACGCAAGGATTTGTACCAAGTATTAATGTAGAAACGAAAATGTGAATATTTGAAAGAGTACCATCAATAAGTGTCTTCATTTTTCTAAAGTCTTTTCAAAATCAAAATGTTCAACATCATACTGTATAACCAAGTGATGCACCTGTCCAGAGTCAGAATTTCTTTGCCTTTTGATGCATGGCTGTGTGCGTGCAGCATCATTATTTGATCACCACTTATAAAAGCATCACTTGCAGGTACCTATCCTTCCAGTGCTGCTTGTTCTAAAGAATTCAAAATTCTCAAGAGAGATTCTTGATTCATAGAAGATGTCAACAATGGGGAAAAAGAAGATTAAACTAGATTCAAGTCAAGAGAAAAGAAAAGGTGAAAAAAAAAAAGCAGTTCTTTGTGTCAGCTATTTTGCCCACAGCTGCAGAATGTGAAATGTGTCTTGATGGCTTAATATTTCACAAAAGAATATTTCCATGTGTCACTGCATTCCTCTGTTCCCATCCAGGTTCTGTTCAGTCTGATGAGTTACCCCAGGATATAAGCCTCATCTTGAAAAATCATACATCTATGGATATTACTCAGCCTTTTGAAGGCAGTGAGATGATTCACTTGCTGTTACATCAGCAGCTTGTTAAAGCAAATTTGGAATTTAAAAATGTTAGCAGATGCACTGAAATTACGTGTAAAATGAACAGTCCGGTTTGTCTCTCTAGTGGCACATATGCATTACAAAGAAGAGGTTTGGATTACTTGGGGATGAAATTCATTCCTGTGCAACAAAAACTTTTACACCATTTGGAGTGAAAATCACTGTGAGGTGAGTCAGGGTTGTTAAACCAGGCCCTCGGTTCGTCAGGAAGAACCAAGGATAAGGCATAAGGTTGTTCCAAATCTACATACAGAGGAAAAGTGTGCAACTATTTGCATAATGAAGTATATGCCAGCCAAAAATGCAAATTATATATGCATTTACTGGTAAAGGATGCTCTTTATACCTGATATTTATACTCCCTGGAAAACAGCTGTATTTGTTGCCTGCATTGGTTTGTAAAGAATGATTCCCATGGAAAGCCAGTATTTATGTGGTATGGGAAATACCTGCTTTATTCCAAGAATTGAAAAAATGTAAATTAATGTAGAAATGAACACTTGTAAGTGCAGATGTAGATGGTACTCTATACAAAAGATGTTGTAGTCCTTCTGATGGCTTAAAAAGTACATGTTTTAAGTAAAAAGTATTATTCCAACTGCAAATTTTGACATAATATTAAACTATGTTTAAAGAAACCATATAAAAATAAAATCCTGAATCACAGAAAACTTTAAAAATACTTTAATTAAAAAAATCAAAAGACATAATAACATCAATATTGGTACTAATTGCTAACACTTTATTTTTTCATTGCATAAATGGTAAATACCAGACCCTCAAAGATATAGTAACTAATATGAACAAGATACTACTAATCTCAGACCATTAAGTTGCTGTTCCCTTACATTCATAAACCAACGTCTGACACATCAAAATGAAAATGAAAAGCAGATTCTTTTAGATCCATACTTTGATTGTTTCTGCATTTAATCTTGCTTCAGAAAAATTACTCCAAGCACAGTAATGCCCTAGCTACAGGTGCAGAGCTGAAAGGCTAGATTTCAGGCCATTTCAGGTACTTCTGAGTATATTTCATGAATATGAGGTTGGTGAGGCACTGGCACAGGTTGCCCAAAGAAGCTATGGCTGCCCCACCCCGGCAGTGTTCAAGGCCAGGTTGGACGGGCCTTGTAGCAACCTGGTCTAGTGGAAGATCTTCCTGCCCATGGCAGGGGGTTAGAACTGGATGAGCTTCCAACCCAAATAATTCTGTGATTCTATTATTCTATTAATATTGAATTAAAGACAGATAAATTTAGTATATTAATATACTAGATATTACTTCAGAAAGGCAAATACAACCAGCAAAATGAGTCAACTAATACAGTATGAAGGAGGAATGCCTACTAAACACTTCTGTAATAACATGAAATACAATATGCAGTAATTTCAAGACAATTCATTGCTTTTTAACTCATCTGGTACACCAGCTATCCTTGAGGTTAATAAATACCATTCCTCTTTTACAATTTGGAAAATGAGACTATGAGTGTGGTGTATCACAGATGGGAAAAGCTCAATATTGGATACAACTGGAGGACATCAGTAGTGGTAAGTGAAATACCCTAATAGGTTACATTAGGACATCAGAACAATGTCATGTATCTGATCAAGGTAATATCCATCTCCTGAGAAATGGGTCTGCTGTGACTAAAGGTGTTTGGGGAAACTGTGGGCCTGCTGGTATTAATTACAATTTACTGGTGACTTCAGGGACACCAGGAATTCACTAATACAAATACTAATACAAATTATACCAAAGTTACCACAGAAATCTAAAATGCTCATGAAGCACCAAGCTGCACAGCAGAGCTTGAATGTACTTTGTATAGTGAAATAACCAACCACAAAGTACTGTAAATCCTGATTTAGGAGCACGAGTTTGCATTTTAGTTTGCATTATTTATGATAAAAATATCTTTAAGAGATTCCAGCTACCTTTCCTCTATCTTCATATAGGAAATGAGCATTGTGATACCACCAGCTGCTCCTAAGCATACTACAATACAAATGTTAAATAATAATATTTTTTAAAGTGTGTGAGATCAAAGTTTGCATCTTTACTCAGCATTTTATACAAAAATAAGTGAACTTTGTCCCCAAACAAATACCCAAATGTCTTACTGATGAGGCTTTACTTATAAAAGCCAGGGGACTGTTAATAAAATAATCAAACCCTCTTAAGAAGTAAAAACCAAAATAGTTTTAAAAACAAACAGCCTGCTCCCTTTTTCAGCAACTGTCATAACTCTCCACAAACATACTCATTCGAAAATGCTACTTTATATAAATCTTGTTTACTTTGGCTTTCTCACTTCTAAGCAACATGCTAAGACCAAAATAAACTGAAGAACCTTCTTTTCAATTTGTTCCTGCTTTCATCTCACAGGACAGCTGAGTTACCCGATACCAACACACAACACATAATGCATTGCCTCTTGGAAAATCCCAACAGACATGGTGCTTAACTCCACTCAGCACCTTTAACAAGGAATGGAGAAATTATATTTTCACACTTCCCTGTACCTCTACAGCCCTGAAAAACAAGCTGCCTCCTTGCAGGAAGACGCCATTATAAACCCAACAACAAATGCTCCTTTACATTTAGACTTCCCCTGAATCATTGCTTTCCAAGATATCCAGTGTCACAGGGTCACCTAAAGTATCCTCTGTATCAGTGGTAAAGCCCTAGTTTCTTGATGTTTTATGAGCATTCATGAACTTCTGGAGGTACTTTGAGGTATATAGCCAGTGATGTTTCAAGACATCCTCCATCTCATAGCATTTGGACTGCCTGGCATTCATTTTTCGGAACCTCCTAAACAGTTTGTTTCCAGACTCGTTTCCTTCACTTGCCCAGGCCCCAATGGACCCATCTCTTTCAATGATTTCAGGAACATGAGCAAGGGTTTTGTGGAAATAATTTGTAATCTTGCCTTCATATCTGTACTTGAACTTTGTAGATAGGAGCTCGGCAAAACGCTGTGAATTATAGCTATACTGGCACAGCAATTCTGGACATTCCTTAGCAGGGCATGAGGATCGCCACACTGGCTTCATCTTCAGATAAAGGTCCATTAGTTCTTTTAGGGCCTTATGCCTTTCTTCACACTTTATTAACTCACATACTGCCTCTACTGTCTCTTTGGACATGAGTTTTCTAGCAAAATTTCCACTCATCCTCATCATAGGCTTCAAGTTCATCTTTTTCCTGAGGTGTTTGTCAAGTGCCAACTGCCACCTCTTCTTCTCCTCTTTAGACACATCAGGATTCTTATAAACTTCACAGATCTCCATCTGGAAAATCCTGTAGAATTCTGCTGCATTTCCAATGTCGCAGTGCAACGCATCTATGGAGGGAACGGTCTCTATAAAAGGTTTGGCTGAAACACCCTTCACTCTGTCACGGAGCTTATCAACAGATTCATGATATGGGTTGGACCTCCATATTTCATATCGCTCCAGATTTTCAGCATGGCTCCTGGTTATGGAGTGAAAGACCACATTCTTGGATGCCTCCAGACGGGTTGCATCACACAGGGTACAAATGTAAGTGGAACCGGAGGCCTCCAGCCCTTCCACTTCCCGCACAAGTTTCTCATCATACCCTGTACCCCTAAAGATGAATTTGAATGTTCTCAGGATGCCTCCCATTTCAAGTAGCAGTTCACTGTTTTTCATAGCCTCTCTTTCTGCTATTAGGGGGCTCAGGATTGCTGTCAGAGTTTCATGATCTGATTCATCAGCCAGCATAAGGCACAGGGGCTTGCAACACAGCTCTGAATTGGGCTTTACTTCTTCAAAGATCCTCTTGCTTTCATTCCCATGTGCTATAGCAATGTTCATGACTGTGAAAGAAAAGCGAACAGCCTTCTCTGGGACAGCAGGCCCACTTCCATGCTTTTCACTGACATCTCCCATTCCATCACAGGACTCTTTCACTACCACAGTGAAGGGACCATTCAAATAGTCATCCAGGTTTTTCGCTTTCATGCCTTCCAAGATCTCCTCCTCCATGTCCTTTAAGGCACAAACCAAGGCTGCATCATACCGAAACCTCTTTGTAATTGTGTCTACTGGGTAGTCATCAATTGAGAGTGGCAATCCTGATAGTCCATCTATAATTCCCACTTCTGTGTTAGTGGACACATTTTTCAAGGGAGGTTTCCACTCAAATGGATGATAACCTGGTAGAAGGGCTTTCTCAGCAGTGCGAAGAGCATGCAAAGGCTGAAAGATCTGCCTTCCAGTGACAGCTTTTACTGTTCTATACATTTTATGATACTGGCTACAGCTAAGAAACGTGTTGACTCGAATTGCCAAGCAGACCGCAGGGTGAAGTCCAGATCCCCTCCCTTGCATTATAGCCTCCAATTCATCTGCTTGTTGGTGTTCATTTTTTGCTCTTAAAGCTAGCAGAAACAAAGTCATGCATACAGATTTTATATCACCTCCCTCTTCTTTCTCAGCAAAAGCCTTGACTTGACGCTTCAGTTCTCTCAGACGATGTTTCTGAGCTCTCCTGGTCAAAGACAGGAGATGCTGCCTTGGTCGGCCACCTTTATTTATGTGGCTGTAGAGCTCTCTATCTTTCGTCTCCTTGTGGCTGGAGAGGTGTTGACCATATTTTTCATGCAAGATCTCTTCCTCACATTCCTTTACAGTGCATCTTATACCCAGATTATCAAGGATGTTCAGGAAGGATTTCACTGGGGTGACCAGATCAGTAGAGAAGCAAGGATACCAGCAGGAGGGGCAATAGCTGCCCATAACCTTGAAACATTTAAGGATGCAGGTTCTGCAAAACAAGTGCCTACATGATGTTTCCACTGGATCTGCCAAAATATGCTCACAGATCTGGCAGGAGATAGATTTAATGAAATCTATGGGGTAATTAACTGCAAGGAGCTTGGTGCTGAGATGTATATTCTTGCAACTGACAATCTCTTTCATTAAATTTTTGTTTATCTGGGCTTGGTTCTTTACATTTCTGTTTATTTGAGCACATTCTGCAACCGTTTTCGCAGGCTTGCCATACTGTACACTGGGTGGCTGGCTTTTCCTCTTGACTCCCTGACGGGTAGTGTGGCACACATCACAGTTTGGAGAGTGGCGTTGCCACTCCTTCATGCTGTTCCTAGAAAAACATACTTTATATGGAGTATTACTGAATTTTCTATGGATAATGCTCCAACAATCATGACAGAATCGAGTGGGATGGATAGTATCAACATCCCCCCGCACATCAATCTTAAAAACCTTAGAGATAAGATCTGGCCAAGAGGTTGCTTTTTTCTCTCTCTTCCTCAGAAGCCACAGAGTTTCATCATCCACTGGCCCATGCACTGGGTGAGTTCTGTTGTAACAATCAGTTTTAAATGAAACTCCACAGATGCGGCAAAGTTGCTTCAGATTGTTCTGATGAGCTTTATTGTCTTGTGTTTTCATGTTTTTGTCATCATTCTCAAGTACCTGTCTATTGCCCATTAAGTCCATGTTTTCTCCTCTTGGCACTGCTTCATCTTTACACAGTATGATTTCTTTCCTGGAAGAAGCAACTTCTTCTGCCTTACCCATGTTTATGTCATCAGAAGGTAGTTTTTCAAATGATCTCACTTTAAACAGCTTGAATTTCCATTCAGAAAAATTGGTATACAGATGCTGAATTTCTTCAGGCAGGTCCATTTGTGATGCTACTGACATCTGCTATCTGGCAGAAACCAAATCACCTGAGAGAGAGAAAGAAGCAGTAAGTTAGGTTATCGTCCAAAATGAATAATGATCCCATGGCTTTTAATAGAACAGTTCTAATCACTTTAACTGAGAAATGGTTTGACAGTGAGTTACTCATCCAAAACAACTACTGAACTGAGAGGCCCAGACGTGGCTGCCCAATCAGTATCTCATGTTCATCACCGGAATGAGTTTTGACTTCTATCCTGAGGCATACACGTGTCTATTCGATAACCAATACATCTTATATCAAGCCATTAGTCATCTGGTCTGAACAGCCAAATCTGCCCCATCCTTCTTATAGCTGACTCAGCTTATCATAAGTAAAGTTACTACAGACAACAGGATTACATTCTGAAAGCTTGGTGCTTTTATTATATGAAAATGAAAGTGCTACAGTTCCCTGGACTCCAAAGGAGATGGGGCCATTTACACTGGCTGCAGATTTGCTCTAGAAAGAATACTCATACATTTTAAGTTAGTTGTCTGTTGAAGTACCCTCTTGAGAAGTCTCTCTGTAATGATAGTGGTCCTGGAAAGATGAAACAAGTATCTGTTCAAATTTGACCCCAATTTTAGCTTTCAAAGATAAAGCCAAAAGGAATATCAATGTGGTTGCCATGGAAATACGGTATTGTATAAAAATAAAGACAAGACTGTTACCTCAAACACTGAAACTTTTTGCTACTGCATTAGATTTAGAAAACAAAATTGTGTAGAAACAACAGAAGTGACTAGCCTATTTTTTATTACGTGGCTATGAGAAATGCCAAGTAAGCAGTGCAGAGAAGATTCAGTTATGCTCTCTATAGTTTTACCGATCTGTTTGGTGTAAGTAATAAAAATTAGGAAAACTATATACATTAGGACTATACACTAGAACTAAAAATGACGTGGGTATGGCTGAGATTTCTTAAACTGATTATATTGCCACTTAGGAATTAATGTAACTTGCTATAAATCTCACTGCAGTATCTATTCAGAAGACATCCTTCATAAGAAATACATCCAAATTATGGTCTAAAGCAATGATGCCCAGGGTGCTTTTGAGATTATTTCATTTATAATCTTTCAATAAGGCATCATTTCAGTACAGTCCTTCAAAGCCCATTGGGAAAGAACCACATGCTTTAATTAAGCTCCAGACCCAAAATGACATATCAGTCTGCTCAGCTCTTTCCTTAAAAGCTGTGTATAACTTCAAAATAATTCATTAGGCCTTGGCAACTAAAATTTAGGTTTGTTTTCTTCCCAGCTCCTCTTCATTTTGTCCCACTGAGAACAAGCTGCCCATATCACTGTACCCAGATGCCTGCATTGCTCCATTCAGCTGCCTATACTGCTAAATATCAGCGACTGCACTGCAGTCCCCTGCTGTTCCTCACAATCCAGCCTGGCAACAGGCTGGTTCATAGATCTGTGTTGTGCAGCTGTGCCCAGATGTGTGTAGAGCATTACCACTGCCTCACTTTCTTGGCTGCATCCTGTGACAGACTTGGTGAAAGCTATCCTCTGAGCAATGGGCCACTTGCCCTGAGTAGTCCTGAGTTCCTATTACCTGCAGAGTGAGCAGCCAGTTGCCCTATACTGTCCACAGTTCCTTTTCTTCTGCATAGCACCCTATAAAATGTGTGATATCACCATCTCTGGCAGCACCTTCAGAATTTCTTAAACTATGAGCAATGCTTCATCAGGGCAGTATCCAAGCCATTGTAAAGAATCAGCAAACACTGAGTACATTTAGAGCAAAATATGTAGTAATTTCTACTCTTCTAACCCTTTAACTGAGTGCCACCATAGTGCCATTCTCATTTCCAGACCCATGATCTAACTCTTCCTATTAATCACCAACTCCAATGAATCACATAGGGTTTACCCCTGCTAAAGAAAGTTCAAGCATTCTTTTCTTTTTTTCTCTTGCATTGAACATGCCCTTTGCAATAGATAGCTGTTGCCAACAAACTACTCATCAAACAGTTTTAATTGCCTAGCTCTCAGGCAGTGGAGATTTCAGCAGTTGTCTTTGGAAGAGCTAGAAATATTCTCAGTGCTAGGAATATTTCATAGTACTTATGCTGAATTTGCCTGTATTGTTATTCTAGTTGGGGGGCACAGTGAATAATCTTTCTTCTTCCTGCCTACTCCACTCAGATTCTTCATGAGTGAACCCCAGGCATGAACCCCAGCCATCGTTGCTTAATGGACTCTGACAGCTGTGTTCAGTATCACCCTTTTCTTCAAAAGGGACAGGAAATCCCTTTTCTTCCCAGATCACAGTGTTTCATACATTTCTGAAGACAAGCAAGATTGCAGTACTCTTACATCAATGAGGACAAAATGAATAGAACAACCTCTAAGGTGAGGAAGCACATATAAAATAAAATCACTGACATGCACATTAAACCAAGAGAAGGAATTGACACTATGTCCTACAAGTATCTGGGATGCTGTCATTAGTACTGCCAGCCTACCTTTAGCTCACTGTCAGTTTGTAGAGGCTGCTGCTATGTCTGCCCAGTTTGCTCCCAATGTCAAGCTTACTCTCCCTCTTGCATGCTCTTGCTCTGTGTTCCCTCTTCTTTTAAAAGCCACTGTAAAGCTGTTTATCTCACTTATCCCTGCCCTTCTAAGTTCCCAGTACCACCCTGGTCCTAACCACAGGTTACTTCAACTAAAAAGAATACAGCACTCTCAAATTCAGGTGGCACCTGGCAATTTATGAGGCTTAACCACAAAATTCACATAAACAAGGTCTTCTTGTGTGAGACTCCTGGGCTCTCAGATAAGTATGCAGACTCTCTGAGGAGCACCTGCACTGTTTTTTAACACCAAGTTCTGCATCTGCCTTTCTTCTTTATAGTTTCAGAGCTGCTTTCTCCACTGTTAACTCTCAGAGAAGAGAACCTGGTGTCTAGTCAGATCACTGTCCCACATAAAAGCTATTTCACTGAAGGCCAGTGGCCTACTTCAGCAGGGCACAGCAGCCAAGCTTCTGGGTGAATTAACAATGGAGTCAAAAAAATGTCCTGATAACCAGCATTTAATTTTCAGTGATATTAGTTCTTTGGCAATGTATGTCCAGGATCTTGAAGGCCCTGGGCAGTGAGGACAAATCCACAATATAAAAGGCCCCAAAATACTCCAGATCTTCTGATTCTAGATCTGCAAGGTTGGGGGGGGGGGGGGGGGGGGAATACCCACACAAATTTCTGAGGAGAAGAAACATCCCGTTTGGGATATTTGTGGTGGGTGGCTAATAGGGGTGGTTGTTAAACTGTTTCTTATCTCCAAGCCAAGAGTTTTCTCGTTTGTAGCCTTCTGGTTCTCTCCCCTATCCCACCGGCGACGGGTGCAGAGTCCCGCTGCGTTCCGCCGCACAGCCGGAACCCCCAGCGCTATGGTCATCCGTTGAGCAGCACCTCGTCAGGGAACGTGTCTCTGCTTTCCCGGCTTGGGGAGCATGGCCAGAACAGCTCCAGCCTTGTCCTGTTGTCAGAGGCAAAGGCCTGATCTGGGTTTTGGTATGGAGGCAACACTGTCGGAGCCGGGGCTGGAAAGGGGCAGAGAAGCGTCAGCCCTGTCTCCCCAGTAAGTAGTTGCTGTCCCCGAGGGTGTAACCTGGGCTGGGGAGCGACCGCTGCTCATCCGCTGCCTCTGCGTGGCCGAGTGCTGCCACCCCATGTGAAGAAATCGGTACTGCAGCACGGTCGCACTCATGCGCCATGGTGCTCCTACAGCTTCCGCAGCCGGACCCCGGTAGCAGCAGCGCGATTCATGCGCAGTGTCCAGGAACAGCATGGTTACATGCAGGGAGCGGGTCTTGGCTCCGGGGACAGCGTCAGGTGGGATTTGAAGCCATCGGGGAGGTGTGTCGTCTCGTGTCGTCTTGTGTGTCCTGCGCGCTGACTCCCGGGGTGGAGGAACAGGAAGCCTCAAGCTGCCCGACGTGGCAGCTCCCGCTTAGCTGCAGGCGAGGTGGGTCAAGACAGCCCCCGGGAGGTCTCCGAAAGCTGACAGGAGAGAAGAGAGGAAGGAGGCAGACACTCTCCAGGGTGCAGACACCGGGTACCTCCCCGGCTCACCAGAGCTCCCGAGTGTGCTGTGGCCTTGTGCACCCCGTGCAGTAGCTGCCAGCTCCAGCGTGCCCCCGGAAGCCTTTTGCGTCACTCCACGCCTGTCCAAAACTCTGAGGTGACAGAGACGAGCTGGACTTCGAATGTGCTGTCAAAAGCCCCAGTGGGAGGAGGGTCTTGGGCCAGGGGTGATCTACGGTAATAACTGATCTCTGGTAATAACGCTGCTTCTTCCCCTCTCCCAGAGGCCATGGTGAGAACGCAATTGTCCATTCTCCCCCCGGGGATGTTGTTGACTACGTCCACCTCAACTTGCATGGGCTGTCTCTGCCTGGCCTTGCTCCCCTGGCATTGTGGGGATGAATAGGACAAACGGAGAGCTCACTGGTGTTATAAATTGAGACCACAACGGATCATAATCCAATTGAATTTTATTAATTATAGCAAGTAGAATATGAGCAAAAACAGCGCTGGACGACAGGGGAGTCTGTGCTCTGACAACTGCCGTGCTGAACAGTTCTAACAGTCCCTTTTTATCAGTCCTCCAGTTCCGCATTCGTATCTTCAACGGAGTACTCTGCGCATGCCCCAGTTGCTTGAGGCTGAAGGCTTGAAGTCCTCCTCGGTTACCTTTAGATATCCTTTTCCATATATGGTCTTCAACTTGCTGTGCAATAATTTTTAGAATTATTTTGCAAAAGCCCTTAGTAAGCGTCTTGCGGTTTGTAAGTAATTTTGGTGTCAACTTATGCAAGTAAAGCACTTAAGCAAAGCAATAGTTGCCCCCACCCATATGTCTGCCAGTTTTTTTTAGAACATCTTGCAGATATTTCCTCAAAACTTGCAGATATTTCCTCAAAACTTGCAGATGTTTCCTCAAAACTTGCGCAAGCGGTGTCTGGTTTAATCTGCACAAGCGACCACGGTTATCTTTTCTTTTGTTGTCTAATCTTTACATCAGGCTTAGCATAAATCTTAATAAACAATACCATAGTCCCTAGTTTTTCACACTGGCTATGGACAGCTGCTGACACAGCTGAAGCTGGAGAGGCCAAAGGAAGGTAAACAAGATGGAATCGAGTGCCAGCCAGCCAGCAGATGTCTCCTGTTGCAGGCAAGAGAGGGCTTGTGTCTCTTGAGGATGAGGAAAGATCTCTGGTCATGATCCATAGCAGGCCAGAGGACCAACATGCACCGCAAGGTCTGCACATGTTACCTCCAGCACAGTACAGCCATGCAGAGCATGAGTGAGCAAGGCTGTGTGCCTGGGAAGCCTTGTAATGCAGGAGCTGTGAGACGACACCCGTCTGCTCTCTGATGGGTGAGAGAGGGGGCAGCCCAGAGCTGTAGAAGAGGAAGGGAAGAGACAAGGAGAAAGAAGCATATGACGCACCAAACTGTCCCAGTGGTGGTGAGAGCTGCAGTGAGTCCTGAGCTGTCAAGACCCTGTCGCTCCCTCATGTGTCCTGGTCCCTCCCTGGCTATTCCCTGGGCTTCTCTCTTTCCCTTGCTCCTGTGATTTCATTTTTTTTTTCTTTCTTGTACTTGTTCTCTTTATTCTCGTGTCCTGCTCCTTTCCCTCTTTTTATGCTTTTCTTTTTCATTCTCTGTCACTGTCCTGCAGTCCATTGCTGTATTTTTCTTTTTTATCTCCTTGTCCTGATACATCAGTCCTTTTTTTTTTCCCTTCAGTCTCACTTTGTCCTGCTCCCTATTGCTGTTTTTTTTTCTCAGTCCATCCCTGTTCTGCAGTGCACAGTGTCCCGTTCCCCCAGCAAACTTAGTTCAAAATCGCCTTGACCAGCCTGGCAAGTCTCCTACCAAAGCAGCTCTTTCCCTTGTATCAGACCAGCCCCACCAGCTTCCAATAGACTTGGCCTCCCAAATTGAGTTCCATGGTCTAAATAACCAAACCTCTGACTATGGCACGACCTTTCTAACCATTTATTAACCATTTATTAATCCTGGCCTTTTGAAACAAATAGTTAAGCATGCATAATCAGAAGGTTGCCTTTGGATGTTGTATGAGAAAAGACACCTCCTTTCTGACACAGCAGCAGGGTTTGGGAATCCTGCATAAGCACTAAGAATGGTGTAGGCTAATCCTGTACAACTGAAGTTCATAAACTTCTTTACAGAAGCTCTTATCAACAAATATGGCGAAGTGGGAAATGTCAAGTTCAGTGCAGCATTTGGCTTGGAAAAATCGTGGAGTCTTTCAGGAATGGAGGGACTGTGACTCTCCCTCTTGTAGAATGGATAAAGTGGTAAGGATGTTTTTTGCTGCTGTCAATTAATGAGAGAAAATCATTTTGAGAAGCAAGGTTTTGTTTCTTTAAAACCAATCTGCAGAATAAGTAAGACCTTGGCATCACTTTCCCTTAGAAAAGCCTACAAGTTTCTGAAGTTCTTCAGTGTTTCCCCTGCTGAGAGCCTTCAAAATAGCAGATGGAGCAATTCAGTTGTTGAACTTCCATTGCATGAGGGTATACTTTATTTCTAGGACAGGAGATGATCTGGTGAGATGCTGGTATTTTTCCATGTGCACTGCCCAGATCCTGTCCTTATGGCTCATTTGAGCTACTCTTTTCCTCTGTTTCTTCTGTTTGGTTAAACCAGCTATTTTATTAGGTCATATCTTGTCAGGCCTTTCTTACTGAGATCCAGAAACCCCTGTGCCTCTTGCACATCTCCGGTGCCTCTTCACATGCTTATGCTGCCTCACGGTGTCTCTCTGCCACTCACTGTTTTGCTCTGCTCACCACTCACAGTGCAGAGCATGGACCTGCTGATGATGCTTTTAGCTTGGTCATTATTTTGAGTCTTACCTCCAGTTTCTTTGTTTCAGATTCCCTGGAGAATTTGCATCACAGAGTTTGTTGTAACATTAATCTGATGCTGAAGGACGGTCTGTAATCAATTTCCAGTAAAAGCAATAGAAGGCTCACCTAGGATATTCCCCTCTCTTGAAATCCCACTGAGTAGGATTTTTGTAAACTTGTGAAGCTGTGACCAGCCTTCCCCTGCTCCAAACCTTATGTGAAAATGAGCATTTCTTCTTGGTGACTTCTCTGTAATGACAGTATTCATCTCTGAGTATCTGTAGAGGTAAACGATGAGCAGCTTCCTTGCTGACTGTTCCACTGCATGTGTCTTCGAAGACAACTTTACATGGTGGCTTTTCTCATGTAACACTGACCGGGTGATTCTCGTGTCCTACAATACCAAGTTTCTTTATTCTCTTTCTGGTTGGATTTCAAAAGAACCAGGCCCTCGCTGGGCAGCTCCCAAGGGCAGCCCCCAGCTTTGGTGGCAGGACCCAGTTAAGGCCATCGCTCGTCAGCAGCACCAGGAAGGTGACTATCTGCAGCAACAAGAGGAACACACAAAGCCTCCTGTGGGATAGAAGAGGGGTCAGGCAGAGCAGAAGCCAAATTCGTCTCAGCTGTTTCCAAGCACCCTCTTTGAACACCACAGTGGGACCTTGTACTAGGCTGGGCACAACAGGCTACACACAGGACTGGGATGAGGGGGTCTGAGCATCTGTCTCAACTCTGCTGTTGGTGTTGCCAGTGTGTCCCAAAATCTCCCCCGTACATGCCCCCCAAGTTAGGAAGAACAGAAAGACTGAAACACTTGATCCCGGACAAGTCCAAAGCTGCCTAATGCTCTTGGACCTCTGGCATGGACATCCCACCACCTATGGAAGAGCCCTGGACCCCAGGGCAACTCACTGCAGCCAAGAAATGGTCTTATTCCTCCTTGTCCATGAAGCTGCTGGCTCTTGGAAACCTTCACATTTCTGCCGGAGGAGCTTGAGCCTGTTCCTGAGCAGCTGGAAAAGCAAAGGGCCCAGTCAGGAGTCCATGCCATGCCTGCTTGGGTGTGGCTTCCCCCCACAGTAATGTTGAGCCCTTGTCCCTCCTGTCCCCAGTACCTTCTTGACCTCAGCCTGCTCCAGAACAGCTCCTGCCAGCTCTGACCACTGCCGCCTCTGGAAAACAAGTGGGATGCTTCACAGGGAGCCTCAAAGGGTGTCAAAGTGTCCAGGGCCTGGCAGGTCAGGGCAGGGCCAGGGTGCTGGCACACAGGTGTCTTGGTGCTGGCACCATTGCCCAGCAGCTTGGCCACCCCCGAGGGGTTTCTGGATGCGGTCACAGACTGGGCCAGCGCCAGAAGCGTGCCCATTCCACACGCCATCCCCAGGAGCACAAGTGAGGGTCACTCATCCCACCCCCTTCCCCAAAGCCATGGTGCTGTGCCTGCAGACTGTGAGACTGA